AGTTATCTGATGTATGTTTTAACTTGTTCTTTTTTTGTAAATACTGTCAAAGGTACCAGCCTTCTAATAGTGTACGCTAGACGCACATGAGTCTATCAGTGACGCTCGAATTATAACAGTTGGAAGACTAAATCTCATACAAAGTTGTATCAAATGTAACTAATGTATACCTGGGATTGAAAAATCTTATTGTTTCGAAAGCTTCAACATTTTATAAACAATAAAATTTACAGAAAATTAGGCTGTGACGAAATATCCGCTAGCAGTGTGAAGGCATGGAATATTTGCTTAACTCGTTCAGCTACAAACAATCAACCACGTACACAAAGTTACAGCATCAGTTAATGTATTCTCTAACAATTCATTGTGAACCTTTTGATAACATGGCAGGTTTCCGGTTGAGTAAAAAATGTGTACCTGAGTTTTAAGTGTTGCAAATTAGAACTTTCTCTTTGCTATAAAAGAAATTGGTTAAAATAATTAATCCCAATCACTTCCTGGATTGGCGACATAGTTATAGGTTAATGGTCTATAAAAGATTTAAATGTTAAAAAAATCGGACAAAAGTAACGGAAGATAGACGCGACCGGATTGTGGTAATATCTGTACGCAATATATTTTAATGATGGCAGCTGCATCTTTCATCAATCAGATCATGAGGTTTATGACTGCATTCCGTGACACAAATTAGTAATATTGCATTTAAGAAAGATCTCTTTATTTATTTATTCTACGGGGAAAGGAATGATGTAAACCTTTCTTAATTAGAATTCATAAATGGATACCATGGTTTTCCCCATACTCAGTTTGCCATTGTATGAAGTACAATGATATTCGTAAACATAATGCCTATGATGAAATTTTCGTCACATTTTTCTTAGGAATAACTAATCGGAGCAGCCGTAAATATATTTTTACACTTGCGTCAGCATGTTTGAACGTATGATGCATTTTCACATGGCTACATGTATTCAATTTGATGTTTAATGAATACTTATAGCGGGGTATCATTTGTATGCGATACTTCAGCCTGTTTAGAATTGCAGTAGGACAGCATGCCTGTTAGATTTTGTTTACTGTGATACTTCGTGTATTAACTAGAAATCACTATTTAGATAGTGTTCATCAATTGGGGATACATGTACTTACAAATTAATATATAATGAAATTCATCGCCTATAGGTGACAAATTGAGATTGTTGTTCCTTCACAAAAATGTTTTTGTCATCGCCATGTTTCTGGGGGAAACTTGACGTTCGATGTTTTTTTTTTTTTTTTTTTTTTTTTTCGTTATCATGGTTCTTACTTTATATGGAATCTTTAACACATAGTGCAAACTTTACTACAATATTCCCCATAGTAGATAATTAAACATCGTGATGCCGTTTTTTAATATACTGGTTTTGGTAAAACCTGTTTGTATCAGCATTTCATAAACCAACTGAAGGTAAATCACCTTTTTGTGTTTAATGATTACATACTACTTTATATTTTACCATGAATTATTTTTTCCAGAATGATGTAACTTGCATTTTGTTCTAGACTGGTAGGTTGATCCGGATTTTAAACTATCTAGTTCACAAGGTACAGTCCACTCCTATCCATATAAATTATTCTGACTCCATTCGAAAACATTTCAGCCGTTCATTCTTTGTGCATTCTCTTAACCTAAATTCTGCACGTTAAGGAAGAAACAACCAATAGATGTGCGCATACAGCAACAAGATCACCAAGGTGGTTTACCAATACATGTAGCATGAACAGCATGTCAAACAATAACACAAATATATTTAACTCAATTGGACAAGTTACCTCCTCTTATACAGTAAAGTTATTTAATTAAAAAAAAACAAATTCCAAATTGCCGTATACTAGTTGGGCATGACCAAAATCTGGCTGTTTAGATTTAAATAAAAGTTAATGTAAATTATGTCATGTTCAATATAAGATGTAAATCGGTACAAATGTTAACTTTAATGCTACTATTCCGCAAAACCTTATCTTCATACTATCTGAATTCCCCAAAAGTATAAAGCCAGAATATTTTTCTTTCCAAAAGGCTCAATATAAAATTAACTATACCAATTGTCTTGATTTTGTGTTATTTATAAATTATATGTTGACAAAACTAAGAATTGTTCAAATTACTAATGATTTTTAACTTCAGGAATAGATAAGCTGTATTGGCAAATACTTTCAGAGTGTTTGGGCCTCACTGGTCGTCAACTTAGTACTTTATTTGGCCTTTTAACTTTTTTTTATTCGAGCGTCTCTGATGATATAAACGAAACGCGAGTTTGGCGTACAGAATAATAAGCCTGGTATCTTTAATGATTTTTTTTATAATAACTGTATTTTAAGTGATGCTTGAAGCCCAAAATTTGGAGTGTCCAAAACATAATACACATGTTGAAGAGCTGATAAAACCTAAACGGAAGCCATACCGTAAATTGGGAAATTTTGGCATCGGGATATTTTGGCGGTTTTCACTCGAAAGGCATGTGTTTTATTTTGTTGTGTGTAATTTTGGTGCTTCGTCCAATTGATGTGTTTAATTTTGGAACAATAGAAGTGTGCGTGTGTGTTGCCCTTATTTACCAGTTTACGTTTATTGACAAAATATCAATGACCTATACAAACTAGAAACACGACAAAGATAACTAAATGAAGGAATCGGATACGAATACAATTGCAAATAATTCCTTATCTCGGTGTTGAGAGCCAAAAAAAGTGATTTTAAATAGATTATTTATTTTTTACAAAAATCATATGAAATAAATTTCAATCATTATCTCTATTGCAGTACATGTTAAAGATTGACGATCAAGGATTTAAATTGTAATCCTTATGCCTCTGGCAGTTCATGTTAAATAATAGAAGATAAAATAATACAAGGAGTTTTGATATTCTTATTACCAATAACGGCGCCTTATCAGCAATAGCCTGGCATATTTATGACATGTGTGAATACAACTTCATATTGTGTTTTCTTAACAATTTCAGAAAATTGACAATTAAGTGAAAATTATATAGTGTTGTTAAATTATACCCGGTATTTATTTGCAGATTTGGCTATGTATAGAATTATAGGAAATATACGGAAGTTATAATAGCATAAAATATTTTCCCCAACAATTAACATTACGATATCGTCGTACCGGTCCGCGATTTTGGCGTTTCAATTTTTAGTGTTTGCTTCATTTTCGTGTGTTTAATTTTGGGACTTTCATTGGAGGCACCAAATAAACCAAAATAAAAATACAACCAAAATAACCAAATATACGATACCTGGACAATGAATCATAACTATACACCAGGGAGATAGATTCATTACTTATTCTAATAATATAAGAAATTATTTCTTATAATGTGACATCAATGGACACAACATTGTTCTTAATGTTGTAGATAGTCCTAGATAGGTTATGAAGACGAGTCATCTATTTGTGATTTCTTGTTATTATTTAATTGAAAGTATTCTTAAACTTGTTTGTCACTGTTTTATCAAAGTTCCTTTATTTTACTGGTCATTTTTATGGCAGAATTTGGTCAATTTGAAGCCTTTATACCAGCTTATAGTATGGTGGGAACTTAATTAATGTAATCAATTCTTCCTTTTGAACTGAAACTTCACAGGAATATTGTACATATTAAGAAGTTGTGCACTTGCTATTATGGAATTATTTGAGAAGTTTTTTTTTAAATTTCCAGACATTTGAACTGAATAATTTTTCAGCAATATTTAGTCAGAAATATTGCCACCCGGCAATTGCAGACTTTGACCATTTTTTATCTATTAATTTGATGTTATGCTGTTACATATTATTTATACACTACCGACAGAATTATGCGTTTCACGTATTATAAATGTAGCTATTTAGTACATAGTTTTACTCCCTTCTACCTTAAACAATGACACATTTCATCCACCCAACCGTGTTGTTTGTTAGGCCCGATACTAAATAAGTGTTTCGGGAGCTTTTCTTCAATTTCAAAGGAATGGTTTGTTTTTCGTTAATACTTTTTTTTAAATTCTATAGGTCTCATCTCATCAGGGTCTCTTAAAATCTTTGTTAAGTAATTGATTTCATCTTCGATCTAGTGTAATTTTTGCTTAAGTTTTTATGTTTTGTTTGATTATGCAATAATCGGTTTCTCCGTTACACGTATCTTTGTGTTTGGTTTACTTGAAGAATACTTTAATACTAGTAGGTTTTTCTTAAATAATTATTTCCCCAGTCGAGGATTGTATTAAGTTCCCAGAATTGAAGGAATAATTTTCTTGCTATGTTTTCTAAATCAGTTAAGAACTTTGATACATGAAACTATAGACATAGTGTTATCAATTTCCTATTAAAAATAGCCATGGTCAGTTTAATGTGGAAAGTTTATTATGCGCGGGATACCCATTTCCATGGATTGCAAGGGTTAAGGTGAACCAGGAATTAAAATGTACAACAAAATACAAATATATATGCCTGTATGGAGACTTTGGAAAAATCATAACATCAAATATCCACGAAATTACAATTTTTCATCAATCCACGAAAATTGTCATTCACGAAAATGAATGAATCCACGTTAATCTGTCCTTTAATAAAAAAAAAAAGTATTGCTACGATCACTGACATTGTTTGTATTATTGATTTGCCGTAAAGATATACTACATGTACTGTCGGTAAATCTATTTCCTTACAAAATATGAAGATCGAAGAAATCATTGACAGACGCTATACGTATATTTAGCTGTTTTGCTATAAGTTAATTGATATGTCAAAGAATAAGTCAACTTCCTTTTTAGTCCATGATAGCTGATCTAAGAACGGCTCCAATCGCGGTTTATATTTTTTGTTTAAATAGATTATTATTACACCTCTTACACCCGGCAGCACGACATTGGTATGTTGTTTATGAAAAATATGAAATAAGGTATATGTAAGAAATTATGTATACGAATAAACAGATATATAGAATTTTAACTATAAGTAACAAAATTTGTTTTCAATATATTTAATACGCATTGAAATATGCTGATGTAAGTCAAGAAAATATAATTACAAAACTTGGCTTCATATTGTACTTGCAATTATTTTTATCCACTTTCCTGTGCTAAATCCCTAAAACATAATATAAATCGAAATGGGAATAGTATAAATTGTTATATGAAGTTTTGTTTGAAAGAGTCGAAAGATACCAAAGGGATATTCAAACAAAAAAGTCGAACACTAACTGACAATGCCATGGCAAAATACCAACGACGACAAAAAGACAAACAACAGGACACAAAACACAACTTAGAAAATTAATAACTGAGCAATACAAACCCAACTAAAAACCGGCGGTTGATAAATCTAAGGCAGTAGGCCACATTCGAAGAAAAGAGGACGGGATTGTGGTTATATTGGTACATAATCGTCGTCATCTGTGAAACAGATATTCCATAACGGTCAACCAAATCTTGATGCGTCCGCAACCTTCTATCAAAATCATGATAGGAAATGTAGGCCCACAAATACTAGATCAACTGGGAAATATATACTCCATATGCTGCAGGAATACTGCTACATAGAAGTGGAAAGTTCACAATTGGGAAGCTGAATTCATCTCTGTTGTCGTAAAGTTTTGTTCTCAGCCGACCCTCATTGTCAATTTCTAGATGTAGTAAGTCAAGATATGAGGCAGACTTATCTCTATCTGTTGTATCCTTTATTTCAAATTCTATAGGACAACATTGTCACCAAACATTGAATTATTTATTGAGAGAACATCATTTTTGTAGCGGGACGTGAAATTAAAGGATAATGCTAGCTTCGTTTCATTCTCTATAAATAAAGGTAACAGTAGTTTACCGCTATCCAATAGTCATAATTAGATTAAGCAAAAACAAATCCGGTAACAAACTAAATCCGAGGAAAACACTTATAAGAGGAAAACAACGGAACAACAGAAACACTGAACTATAACAAAAAGTAAACGCCAACATACATAGAAACGAACTGTGTGATAATAACTGCCATATTCCTGACTTGGTACAGGACATTTTAAGAAAAAATGGTGGGTTGAAACTGGTTTTATGGCTAGCCGAACCTCCCACTTATATGGCAATGTTAAAAATACAGCTAAAATGACAACACTACGTGACAGGAATACAGTACAAACAAACGCAAGAAGCTCCTGTATCGAGTCAACATGTAACCATTTTTCGATTAATAACTATTTAAGTAATTTAGACCGAAATCACTTTTGTGGTTTTTAATCTATAAAAAAAAAATTTATCAGACAGTTCAGTAGTATACATAACAATTGAGGGCATGGTTTTAAAGAAAGTAATTGCTTACAAAAGTATCTCAAACCAGATGCTATAAAGAGCCCGTGTCGCTCACCTGTATCTTCAACAATGGACACTTTTTGGTAAAAAGCATCATTTAAGAGTATAATAAATCCATAAGAAGTTAACTGACAATTTCAGTCATATGTTGACATACTTGTATATCTTGTCTTGCTGATCATTTTTGCTATTTAAATTTCTACCTATCTATTTTCAAGATAATGCGCAAACACATAGTAAAACACATCATTTAAGGGCAATAACTCTTATAAGGAGTTGACTGACGATTTCGGCCACATTGACTTATTTGTATATCCTATCTTACTGATAATTTTTCACTATTCAGATATCATCTCTGTATAATAGTTTTCAAGATAAAATGCAAAAAAAAAAAAAGAAAACAACACTGGTAACAAATGTCATTCAGAACAATAACTGCTATAAAAAGTCGACCAACCATTAAAGATCTATTAATGTATTTGTCATGATGACCGTTTTCGCTATTTAAAGTTTCTATCTATCTATTACAGTTTTCAAACTAGAAGCCAAAATCACATTATAAGAATAGGTAACCATCGTCCCTTAAGGACCATAACTTTTATAAGAATTCAAATAACGTTTTCTGCAATGTTTACTTGTTTGTAGATAGTGTATGCGGATTAGTTTTCGTATCTTAAGTTTCTACTTATCTATTGTATTCTTTCAAGATAATGGACAAACACGCAAAAAATGGTAATACTCGTTATTGAAGGGGAATAACTCAAATAAGAAGTTGAATGATGTTTTCAACACATTTCGCTTATTTGTAGGTCTTGTCTTCCTGATTATGTTTAGTGTTTGAAATATCTCTCTATGATCTATTAAGTTTTCACAATGAAAGGCAAACATGATGAAAATTGATAAGATTCCTCCTTTTAGGGCAATAACTGCTAAATGAAATCTTCTTACAGTTTTGATGTGCCAGATTTTATCCCTATCTATAGCGGTTTTTAAGATAATAGACAAAACTAACATTTTACCACAATGTTTGGCTATGTAAGCCATGTTGGTAGACAGGCGGGATCGAACGACGGACGCCTAGTGATGAGAAAGGCTCACTTTAACATTTAGTTCAGTTAAACTAATAAAATAAAGTATAAATGTTTTCACACATTTTCTTGTTTACTTGGCTTTCAAACTGCTTTGATTCAAACGTCACTGAGGAGTCTTAAAAAGACGAATCGAGCGTCTGCAATACATACTAAAAGTCGGGTATCTGGAAGAGGTTTTTGTTTATGAAAAGGTACAGCTTCAAATCTCGATTTATGCATTTAAACACTTCATACCTTTGGTGCAATCGAAGCACTTGAATCATGGTGATTTTTTTATTTTCTATGACAAAATGTGTCTTGATTTGAAAAAAAAAAATCAATTTAACAATGCGCGAAAGGGGTCACATTGATGACGTCATGATTAAATAATTAAATTACCTATGCATATCTCTTCTTCGTCTGAATGATCAAAACAATCAATTCTGCCATTGCAAAATGAGTCTTGATTGATACACTGCATATCGTCTGCACATTTCTTTTTCCCGTCAGGGCACTTGTATTCTGAAAACATAAAAAAGACTATATTGCCTTGCATTAACCTTCAGAATTCACTTGTATATATTTGATACGTATAAAATATGCAGATATAAGTCAAGAAAATACAATTACAAAAACAGGCTTCATATTGTACTTGCAATTGTTGTTATCCACTTTCCTGTGCTAAATCCCTAAAACATAACATAAATCGACAATGAAATAGTATAAACTATTATATGAAGTTCTGTTTGCAAGAGAGGCGAAAAAATACTAAAGTGATATTCAAGCTCAGCAGTATAAAACCAACTGACAATGCCATGCCAAAAAACGAAAAACGACGAAAAGACAAACTAAAGTACGTACACAAGACACAAAATAGAAATCTAGAGACTGATCAATACGAACCCCACCAAAAACCGGGGGAGATTTCATGTGCTTCAGAAGGGTAAAAAATTCCTGCTCCACATGTGGCACCCGTCATATTGCTCAAGTAAGTAAAACGTCGTTGATAAGTTTAATTCGGTAGGTCACACTCGAGGAATAGAGGACGGAATATTGGTTACATTGGAATATATCCATCGTCATCTGTGAAAAAAGTTATTCCATAACAGTCAACCAACTCGTGATGGCGTCCGTAAAATTTGCAAAGGGATGATTTCAACTTCATCACTTGGAACTCTTGGTTTAAAAGAAACAGATCAAGAAACAAACAACAATACACAAAACACAACATAGAAAACTAAAGACTGAGCAACACGAACCCCACCAAACACTAGAGGTGATCTCAGGTGCTCCAGAAGGGTAAACAGATCCTACTTTATATGTGGCACCCATAGTGTTGCTCATGCAGGTACAAACGAGGTGATAAGTTTAATATGGTAGGTCACATTCGGGGAAAAGAATTAGAACTCTTGGTTAAATAGCTTCCTCGTGAGCAGCAACTTTCTATCAAGGAAATCATGAAAGGAAACGCAAACTCCCGACTACCGTATCAACTGGGACATATGCAGGTGCTGCTGGAATGTTGCTTCATAGAAATGGAAAGTTACAATTGGTAAGCTAAACTCATCTTTTTTGTCGTTAAGATTTGTTCTCAACCGACCCTCATTGTCAATTTCTAGATGTAAGTCAAGATACTAGTATGAGACAGACTTTATTTCAAGTTCGATGGGATAGATGCGTTCAACATTGTCAACAATCTTTGAATTATTTATTGAGAGGACATCATTTGTATAGCGGAACGTGAAGTTAACGGATATTGCTAGCTTCTTGTCGATCTTCATATGAAGCTCCTGTATGAAATCAACTTGTAACCATTTTTCAATTTAAAAACTATTTCAGTAATTTAGGTTTTTTTTATTAAATGAAATCACTTGTGTGGGGTTATAATCTACAAATAAAGGCAACAGTAGTATACCGCAGTTCAATAGTCATAATTCGATTAAGCAAAAACAAACCCGGGTAACAAACTAAAACCGAGGGAAACACATCAACTATAAGAGGAAAACAACGGAACAACAGAAACACTGAACTACAACGAAAGCAAACGCCAACATACATAGAAACGGACTGTCCGATAAAAAATCCATATTCCTGACTTTGTACAGGACATTTTAAGATAAAATTGTGGGTTGAACCTGGTTTTATGGCCAGCCAAACCTCCCGTTTATATGGCAATGTTAAAAACACCTCCTAATTGATAACGTAATATTACGTGACAGGAATACAGTACAACCAAATACAAGAACACTAGACACAGAGAAATACATAAATAAATAATATAAGAGTATATTACAACATGTAAACCGCAGAATAATTTCAAACATCTCCTATGAATTTACGACAGTACACCATGACACCACAAACGAAATATAAACTGCGAGTCACATGAAAGGATCAACGTTACAAAAAGTGACGTATTTTATAAGACAGTCTAGTACTAAACATAACAATTGAAGGCACAATATGGTTTTTAAGTGAGGAATTGTCTAAATAAAATCATCTTAAACTAGAGGCTACAAAGAGCGCGTGTCGCTCACCAACATCTTCAAAAATAACTACTTTTTCGTAAAAATCATCATTGAAATGTATAATAACTCCATAAAGAGAGAACTGAAAATTTCAATCATGTTAACATATTTGTACATTTGGTCCTGCTGATCATTTTCGATTTTTAAATTTCTATCTATCTATTTTAGTTTTCATGATTAGACAAAAACATGGTAAAAAATCATCATTTAAGGGCAATAACTCTTATAAGTTGACTGATTATTTCGGCGGTATTGACTTATTTGTGGATCCTATCTTGTTGGTCATTTTTACTATATAGATTTCCATCTATCTATAATTATAGTTTTCAACATAAAAGGCAAAAATGCAAAACAACATTGGTGAAAAATGTCCTATAAGGACAATAACTGCTAACAAAAGTTGACCAAACATTTCAGCACTGTTAATTTATTTGTCCTGATGATCATTTTCGCTATTTCAAGTTTTTATCTATCTATTATAGTTTCCAAACTAGTAGGCAAAAATACATTATTAAAATTGGTAAAAATCGTCACTTAATGACCATAACTCTCATAGGAAGTCCACTGACGATTTCTGCGGTGTTGACTTGTTAGTATATCTTGTCTAAGAAATTAGTTTTGGTATAATAAGTTTCTATCTAGCTATTATAATTTTCAAGATAATAGATAAACACGCAAAAAATGGTAATATTCGTTATTGAAGGGCAATTACTCCAACAAGAAGTTAACTGATGTTTTCGACTCAGTTCACTTATTTGTATATTTTGTCTTACTGATTATTTTTCTGTTTGAAATATCTCTCTATCTTTTAAAGCTTTTACAATAAAAGCCAAGTTGAACATGATAGCAATTGATAAAATTCAATTTTTTAGGGCAGTAAATGCTTTAAGAAATCATCTGACAGTTTTGATGTAATAAAAACAGGAGGTATATCACGACATTCTCATTATTTCTGCCCTGTCAGAATTTCTCTATCGATAGCGGTTTTCCAGATAAAAAACAAAACTAGCATTTTACTCCTATGTTCTATGTTTAGCTATGTCGGTCACATGTTGATTTGACAGGTGGGATCGTCGGATACATTATTTAAACTAGATACCCCAAGAATGATTGTGGCGAAGTTTAGCTCTAATTGGCCTAATAGTCAGAATAGAAGAATTTTATATAAGTCAACGGACGACGGACGCCAAGTGATGAAAAAGGTCCACTTGACCCTTTAGATCAGGTGAGCTACTTAAATAAAGTATAGATGTTTCCACACATTTGCTTGTTTACTTGGCCTTCAAACAGTTTTTGATTCAAAAGCCACTGAGGAATCTTATAAAGACGAAAGCGCGTCTGCAATACCATATTAAAAGCCGGTTATCTGGATGCGTGTTTTTTTAGGCCAGGTACAGCTTCACATTTCGATTGATGCATATAAACACTTCATAACTTTTGGTGCTATCAAAGTGCTTCAATTGGGATTTATTATTTTCTTTGACAAAATGATTTAAAAAACATCAATTTAACAATGTGCGAAACATCATTGAGGTCATGGTTAAATAACCAAATTACCTATACATATCTCCCCTTCGTCTGAATGATCAAAACAATCAGTTATGGCATTGCAAAATGAGTCTTGATTTATACACTGTATATTGTCTTCACATTTCTTTTTCCCATCAGGGCACTTGTATTCTAAAAACATAAAAAACTATATTGCCGTGCAGTAACCTTCATAATTTACTTCTATACATTTCATACTTCGTTTCTCTTATTTAAGATATAGTTTAACTTATACTGACACTAGGCATAGTACTGAAACACGTGCACGTGATTCACCGGTTATGTTAAGCTATATCCCTTTTTTCAGATATAGAACCACTAATTCAGGCCCGGTCAGAAAGAACATATAAGAAAGTAGTAAAAGTTTAAAAACAAAATAGTTTCTATGCATAGCTGTAATTTTGGTGTCAAATGATATTAGAAAAGGAGGACATGTTTACCCTGTTGTTCAGATCAGATGTACCTGTTTAAGTACAACCAAATGTCCGGGGTCCTTTACGTTTTAATATACAATATAAGCTTTGTTGAATTTTTAAGCTTAAGTCAGGAAAAGGTATATTTGTCATAGAGGTAGCAACATTTGATCTTTAAATATCGATGTAGCATGTGTATTAATAGACCCTTTCATTTTTATTTATTTCTCTGACTCAGTTGTATAAACGACCTCACAACCCTAATCCATTGATAAAGAGTATCTACGCTTTCTTTTGGAATTTAGCCCATCGCCTTGCATAATCCTTGACTAAATAATCAGTAATTTCAAGTGTTTCCAATTGATGGATTTAGGATCAAGATATTTCGGGACTTTAAATAACACATTTCGCAGACACCTGTTTTTGACTGTACTTAGGTCGCCAGTAATAACGTAGCCAGTCGGATTATGTATGAATTGGGAGCCAGCACAGGTGCAATCAGGAGATTTGGACTTGGAGTCGTCCATATTGAGACCCCGCAACACGTGTTTGTAATTGAAAATTTTAGTTGTAACTGGTTTGGTATAGGTATAAGAAATTATAAGTACAAACTGATCTTTAAAGTAGAGAGATATTTTTGAGTGAACTGATTTTTATGCAGGATATTTTCACAGGTTGATGGCATCGAGACCTTCATTGGCAAAGGAATGTTTTAGAAAGAATATGTTCTCCTTTTCAACTTTTCAAAATCTAACCGGCCTGGAAAGTCTGTGACAGACAATATCCGAGATGATAGCTGTAAGTTTGTATCATTTTGAATGGGGTTTTTAACAGTGGTTCCCAAACATAAGTTGTGTATATGTAGAGAATGAAGTTTTGAAAGGGGTTATGCATAAATCGCCATGCGAATGTGACGTGACGTATACCAAAAGGCTTTTTTTAAACGGCAATTTTTGACATTTTTACCTATTATGTCTGTTTGTTTTGATCACACATTGTTGTTTATATAATGGAATTATATGCGACTATCATACAAGTGAGAGGTTTAGCTAGCTATTAAACCAGGTTTAACCCACCATTTTCTACACAAGGAAATGCCAGTACCAAGTCATGAGTATGACAGTTGTTTTCCATTCGTTTGATGTGTTTCAGCTTTTGATTTTGCCATTTGATAATGGACTTTCCGTTTTGAATTTTCCTTGGAGTTCGGTATTTTTGTTTTTTTTACTTTTTTGTATAAATGGCAGAAGGCCATTCATGGAGACGTTATGGAGAGTAGGTGATGTATAATGACGATGACACTGACTACGTCTTCGTCGAGGAGTAGAGTTGAAATTATTTATAACCTTCATCGAGCTACCGGAAGGACTAGATAGAATACCTTTACCATCAATTTTGTTATTTCAACCAAATGGTGTCGCAGTTTGCAATTCCCAATTTCGTCTTCATTTTGTGTACGGACAGGTGTTGCAAGATTAGGATTAGGAGTCCTGCTGTATATTTTTATGATGATGCGAACTCGCATAGAAGAATTGAATGATCTGACTGATTAAAATGCTGGTAAACAATGTCATTCGCATTGTTGTTAATGTCTGATCTATAACCGCACATACGTTTATAAAGCATTCCTTTTGTTTCACCGACATATAACAATCTACAAAGGTTACACTATGATTCAGATTTGTTGATTTACAATACATATCATTGTAGCTTCTGGTATACGATTTTCTAGTTAAATTTCTAGTCAATTGAGCATCTGGTTGTTTAGAGTTATTAAAGTCCCACAAATCTTGTATTAGAACTGTCCACGGCCTTTTCGTTGAAAATTTACGTTACACATGGCATAAATGTTAATTTTCCATGAAAAAATGATGAAAACATGTCAATTTTTATAGAGTTTTTAGGATTGAAAACATAGAGCGCATGCGTCGACAAAAAGATCTTTCAACACTGTGTTTGTTATAACAACTTACAAATCTGACTTGAAAACTTAGTTTGTCTTTTCATCCACTTGAATTATTTTTAATCTAGAAACAATGAATTTTATAATCGGGTTAAATATGAAACTTACGGAACTTACTCCTTTGAAGTATCAAATGACTTGAAGTCAGGGATTTCATAACCATGAATTATTAAAACTTTTACTAAATACATAAATAGATTTGGTTTTGAAATGTGGCTGCATATGCATATGCATTCTTATCAAAAACGGGATATCACTTCCTAATGTTTACGTTCATGATGATAATAAAGCACGTAAATCTCAATACGATCTTTATAAACTTATTGATGATTTTAAAGGATATCATTTAACACCGTAGACATGTTTGAACATAGTTTTTATCGGTTCTAGCATTGATTATGGTTTCGATAAAATGATTTAATATCTACTGCTTTCATTTATGAAAAATTAAGGTCCTTCATCTTGTTGACCTTTTGCACTGTTTTGGCAGTACCGTGATTTTTAACGAAAGAAATATCGCATTTCTATGAAGAAAATATAGCATTAATAAGTTGTTCATAATAAAAACAACATTGCTATGCTATTAGAAAAATATCGCACTCATATAACAAAATATAGCACTATCAATCTTTAACACGTGAACATGGCTAAAAATACAATCGAACACATTGAAAATGCATTCCACTGTCTTCGTTACATGATTGTTATAGTATTTGTACACTTCAAAATAAAAGATCCTGCATGTAGACGAAGTAGGTTTTATTAAATCTATCTGACTTTTTTCTCGTATAAATACAACATACTTGGAATTAGATTACACAATGCATGGAAAATTACATACAAGGCTTTTGTGATGTTAAATATGTCCTTGTTTTAAAAAGGAAAATCAAGTGTTTACCAAAAAGTCTTTTTCATTCTTACAAATGTAAACAACCGTCTACGATTTTCCAACAATGCATCTCGTTTACAGAAGAAAATATCGCTACTCCACAATTACAAATATTTTAACGTCTCAATCCAAGCTGATTTCTAAATTCTAAAGTCAGTACATTTCACTATTTTGTTCTTTTGATTAATGTATTGTTTAAAAACGGAATTTCTTATGTTTTAATATCAAACAGCTTTTATTGAATTTCTTGCTTATCAAACGGACTAGTTTATTTAATATTGTATTATTTATTTTAAATAGAATTCAAACTTTACCATTTCTTTAGAGTATAATTCAAACATTTTCATTTCTGTAAGGTTTCGTTTCTATGTTGTGTTTTGTGAACCGTTGTTTGTCTTTTCGTCGTTTTTAGTTTTTTGTCAGTTTGTTTTCGACTTATGAATTTGAATGCCTCTTTGGTATCTTTCGCCTCTCTATTTTAAAGAATAAGAATTGAACCTATTAGCGTATACCGGGAAGTAGTATCTTACAACGATTTATTATACAAATGTATGCATTCTAAGGAAGATATATCGTGAAAAGAAAAGACAAAAAACCAAATAATTGAAAAAAATTATAATTATAAACATGATAAAGTAGTTCAGGTGTTATTTCTCTGCACTATATTTTATGACTGTAATAATCAACAAAATGTCCTTATGGTAGCAAAGTTTAACTAAATGTTTTTCATTAATCACAGGTTTGTCAAGAACGATTATCAAATACTTAGGTAATAGTTTTAATAATATGACATTTGTTTTACTTTCATTTAAAAATACCTACCAGCACTTAGCCTAGTAAATGAATTTGAGTTTTTAGCGGTCATTATGATCTAAAAATCATCTGAAAAGTCCAAACAATAATTCAGTACTGTTTAGATAATTCGCTTGCAGTTAATTGAAGGCTGTTCATAATCTTTTCAGTCAGTTAAGTATGACGTTGATATATACAGGTAAAGAATACCTACTGAACAGTCTGAACAGAGACGGAACAGATCGCTGTTAACTAAAAGCAAATGGTCGGTACCGAATTTTCCGCAGTAGATAAGTCTAAAAATTGACTGAAATACTGAAAATTACTTTTTTATCAATCTTTTAGGAGCAGTTCTGATCAAAATTGGTTAAGTAGTGTATGGAAAAAAAGTATAACAAAAATACCGAACTCAATTTCAACTGACAAAACTAAACGCTATCAATCAACGGAACAAGTGAAAACAACTGCAATATTTCTAACTTGGAACAGGCATTTTCCGAAGAAAATGGTAGTTTTAACCTAGTTTTATAGCTAGATAAACCATCCACTTGTATGACTGTTGTTTGTAGTTCCGTTATATCGACAAAATTGGATGAATGGAGACGTGGCCGCGAGTAAACATCAATTAGAGAGCTGTACAATATTTGCTTTCCTACATGAAGAAACTTTTCACTTACTTAGGTTCAGGTTTTACCTACCTAGACACATGTCTTTAACCTCGTCTGATCCGTCCCTGCAGGAACTTTTCCATCACATATAGCATATGGTGGGATACATTGTTTACCATCTTTACATCTTCCATAACCCTTAGCACAAGCTTTCTCTAAAACAATAAATACATCTAGTCGTGATAATTTAAATTATTACATTGGTAGCATTGAATTACATTGATTTCCCAGTCAAATAAAAACCGATAATTTCACATGTGAAATAAACGTGGTTATTTCACTCTCTGACGTCATACAACAATAGGCGTTGTCAAGTCGTCGATAACGTCGGATCAAAACAAATTGTGAATGCGTAGAAAAAAGATGTAGTTCCTTACATTTTCTACATTAATTTCATTAAAAAAAGCCATTTGCCAATGTAATAAAAAGAATAACTTATCAAAGAATTCAAATATCGAAAAATATTCAACTCGTGACCGAACAACACTGATAATTAACTCATGCGCTACGCGCATTCGTGAATTAATGTGTTGTTCGGTCACTCGTTGAATATTTTTCTCTATTTGAATTCTTCGATTAGTTATTCTATAAGTAATCATGATAATTTAAATTATATGTATGTTATTCAGTGTTTGTCTATTCTTGATTGATATTGGCCTTCGATAATATCAAAAAAGAAGGAAATATAAACATCGACTATTACTTATTCAGCTACAAAATTGGTGTCCTTTCTATGAATTATTTTACGTAGTGTTACTAAGTTGATCCCTTATATCCCATCTAATGTGATAGCAGGATTTAATTCAACTTAAAAACGATATTAGTTTTAATTCGTACCTTCGCGTTCTCCTTCATGACGTTATATGAACCCGGTAAGAATGAGGTTTTAATTCGACCACTGTGAGCTATTGATCATTTAAAGTGTGTATTCCAAGCAAATTTTGTTTGATGTATATGTGAAGTCACATCCAATCTAATGCACCTTCAATATATTTTTTAGAATACAGCAAGCTTTTTGCGGGTAGAAAAGCCTTTACAACAATTCTGTATAAGGTACTTTGTTTGCAAAATTTGATACTACACTGTCCTTTTATTTTTAAGATAGAAATCATGGGTAAACAAAATACATATATATATATATATAGGACAAATAAACACTCTGTATGTACAACCTCTCTTACACAAGTTTTAATTCATAGAGTTTGTTTTGCTGTGAGGATGCACAAATAAAAATACTACCTTATATGTAATGACGTGTTGTCGAAGTTTTATCGATGAATCATTTCTGGGTAACAACGCTATAAAATGGAAGTTGATACGTGCCTTCAAACCCGTTTCAACCATATAGTTTTGTTCTAAAGTGTCTTTATGAAAAAATGGACATTGATTTTGGAATAAAACACATTTATCTATTTTTTTTAATTCATCTAGACATCGGTATTACCTTTTAATTTAATCACAACAATAGTTAACCGATATTCAAACCTCATAAGTCAATACACCAACCAACATGATCATCAACAGTCAAGATTTCATAATCGGGAATGGAAAATAGTCGGTATATTTACAGATGAAACAACTTTGCTGGTATCTAAAGTTCTCATACCGAAAACACATGTCGCTAGTGAGTTGATATACAGACATATATCGGTCCACCAATTCGAACTGATGACCGTAACACTTTTGGTCGTTCTTCTAATGACTTTTACTTTTATCAATGTATTGGTTTAACTTATAAACTGCTATCGCTTTACCAGGAAATATGTCGTTTAGCAAGTCACAATATCAATTAAAGTTTAATATGTTTATTTATATGCAAATGAGATTACCTTTACAGAAATCTAAGTCCTCGTCTGATTTATCCTTACAGTCATATAACCATTTTCGTTTTCGTTTAAAAGGCGATGAATCGCAAAAACGTCTTTCAGTCACACACTGTATATTATCTTTACATTTAGTAAGTCCAGGTCCACAATTATATCCTGCAGACAAATATACGATAACAGTATATAATATAACTAAAACTTAGTGTTTGTCTATTGCTGTCGTCTTTCGTAAACTTTTTCTTGAACCACTCTACTGTTTGATACTTACTTGCAGGGATTCGTATTATTCTTTATTTGTTTCGCTGTTCTTGGCAACCAAAGTTAATATGAAACAGGTAAAATAGATGGTTAAAAAGGTCGTTAAAATCCGGAAACGGAGTATATTTAACAAATTTGGATAAATGACTTATCAATGATATACATGTGTATGCGTATGGTCGGACCATAAAAGTATGTACGTATATGGTCCAAATACTTTTATGGTCCGGAACACAGATACAATTTATCAAGCTCGTACTATTCCAGAGTCGAAATTAGGTATAAATAAATTTAAGATAAAGTGTCAAAGATTTGTCATCAACACAAAAAGTCTGCAAATGAACAAAACATTATGAAACAACAAACATAATTCAACTCATAGTTTTCAACACTAAAAACAAAAAGGCGAACATTTGACAGGCGACAGTAGTCCTTGAGAAGGGTAAACACCCCCTTTTATATTTTGATCATGTACAAAAGATGCATGTACATAACAATATCAGTACAAACAAAAACTTAACTCTAGCATAATGAGATTATGAATAAAAAAACTACAAACATTAAGAATATAAACCATACTGTATCAAAAATATTAATTTGAAGCACCGCATAGTAGTCAAAAGTACGTGTTGCCTAATATTTAAATACTGGGGGCTGTTTTCGGGGACAATTAAATACAGCAACGTTATACATGGTAAATATATTCTTGATTATGTGCAACGCCCCCGGGAAATCTTTATAGCTTTTCATTGAACAATAATTGGATCGTTATAAAATCTTAATCATCTGTTCTGGTTTAAGTTGCGCTGTTTGGTTTTGTCCTTTGTTTGTTATCCTATTCAGTTTGTAAATGTGTAAGAATTTTGATAACAAATTCTTTTAAATTATTGTTAATTGAACTAATTTAACTCAATAACTTTCATTGAACTTCCTTCGAAACTTTCATAAAAATGCAAACATTGTATCATTAAAAGCATGCATATTTATAATGAGTACTAAGGGATCACATAAGACTTTAATATTTTATTAGCCTAATTTCAATTATTTTATGATGAATTTGTCCTACGTTTACCCGGGTATCTAATATTTCTTTTCAATTTGTTTGTTGTAATGAGATCCAAAAGGGCTTTTGTGCAAGAATCCTTGCGGAAAGCGTATGGATATTTTGTGTTAGCGTGTTTTGTAACAGTGTTAGTTTCTATATGCCTTTGCAGTCAGTTTTTATTATTATGTATGATTCATGTGTACACAGTAGAATTGAGAATGGAAACGGGGTCCAATTAAAAGGAGCAAAGATTGGCGTCCAGAATATGAACCAGGACAGGAATTGAATCAAGAAAAAAGATAAAACGGTTCGGCTTAAGACGTCAAGCGCTATCCGTCATCAAGTACCCGACAAAATACGTAAATTAAGAAACCAGAAGACAAAAACAAAAGACATGGTAAATCCGGGTAGCGCCGGACGTCTGACTAATAGAAGAATGGGCTGAATAGTTAAATATGAGTTTTATATAAATATGCCTAAAGTAACAGAGCTTATAATTGTGATATTCTTACTTTCATGCTTTCTAAATATTACTTACTACATTCTTAAATAAAGATTTACAATTAAAAAATCACTTAAAAGTGATTGTTATAAAATAATGGAATATGCATTGATAGTAAACATTTTATAATCTAAGAATCGGAATGTTCAAGATTATATGTATCCTCCACTCTCCTGTAGCCTGTCTAAGCCAACAATTATTCTAAAATCAAATATATTAGGGGCCAACTGAAGCCCGCCTCCGGTGTGGGATTTTCTCGCTGTGTTGAAGACCCATTGGTGGCCTTGGGCTGTTTTCTGCTCTATGGTCGGGTTGTTGTCTCTTTGACTCATTCCCCATTTCCATTCTCAATTTTATATATATATATATATTAAATAATATAGTTTCAAACTTTTAATTTGTTGAACGATAATAGTAAGCTATAAACATATCCCATATGTGACGTTATCGTATACTATTGACGTTTTTTAAAAAGTGGTACATGTATGTATGATTTGTAACAATCAATCTTGTAAATATGTTACCTGGACAATATTTCCTTCTAAGAGACATATTCGAACCATCGCCACACGTTCTATACCGGGCAAAGCTGCACAAAGCCCACAGGGATATACATCTAAACGAATACTCACATTTAACCTGTCCTTCTTGACATGTTTTCACTGTAAATATTGCAATGTTACAAATAATAATGAATATAACGTTTTACGTAATAGTTATACACCGAGGGATAGGTGTGTCTGAATAAGAAACCCCGACGGCTGGAGGCCGGAGGGGTTTCTTATCCAGACACACCGTATCCCGAGTTGTATAACTAACTTACACCCAATGCTGAAACCTATATTTGTTAACATTGATTATTAAATGAAAAAGAATGGATAGCATATTTATAGACAAAATCGAACCATGAGTTATGACAAAAATATTTTTTTTACAAGAAACCCCACTAGTAACCTTACTTTGGCTATGTTCTTTCAAACTTTGACAAGTGAGTAGATTTTACAAATGTCAAAGTTGCTGTTTTGCATATTCCCGTTAAATCCTGGTGCTAATATGGATCAGAAGTTCAAGGTTGACCGTTTCGTGCATTCTTATCACAAACAAAATATACATCATGCTCCTTGTATGCAGTTGTCAATATGGACGGGTATAAGACGGACGACATTTTGGGTCAAGCGTTGGATTTGTTAGAAGAGACTAAAGATAAAGGCAATATTATAACACAAAGTACTTGCCTGTATCAGTTTAATGTAGGTAATCATAAATGTATGTTTTAATAACGGTTAAAAAAAAAAGAAGCCTCCCCCTTCTCGAGAATAGACTAACATTCATATTCGGACACACTGAGGGATGGGTGTGTCTGGATTAGAAACCCGACGACCGGGATCCAGGGGGGGGGGGGGGGGGGCGGGAGTTAGAATCCCTGTTTTTTTAAGATCAATGCTTTAGAATAGAGATATATGACTGGGATCAAACATTTTACCTTCAAGCAAAGAAGTATTTAGGGAGCAACCATTTTAACTTCAAAGGGTTTCGGGGGGGGGGGGGGGGGGGGGGGGGAGGGGGGTATGTTTTTTTGTTGGAGTCAGACATTTTTTTTCTCGCAAATCGCGAACAATTTTATTTAGTTTTTTAACGCTACCAATCAAATTATTTTTCCCTTGAAGGATTTTTTTTTATGCAAAATTTTTTTCGCTATTGAAATTTCCTAAAATGTTGTTTGTAATATCTTGAAACAACTTGTAGTAAACACTATTACTAATTTTTTATGTTCATGCTATTTAAAAAAATAATCAATTTCTATTGTAATGAATAACAATGGACTTTGTTTTCCGGAATGTAGAAGCAGGGGTTTCCAGAAACCCCACTCGTCACACCCTGTGGTCAAAATCCATTGTCACTCGTAACAATAGATCTATTCAATTTACACTTGTTTCAGAAATAGAAACTATGAAGTATAACAATAGAACTGGGGTGTAATGCACTACAAACCAGTAAAAGTCTGAAATGGCCTTTATCTGTACTCGACTGTACTGATTTTTACTCGACCAGTCTGAATTGGTCTGAAATTTACTTGATAATACTCGACTGTAGTCTGAACCATACTTAACAGTCTGAACTTGTACTCGACCAGTACTTAACCATTTTATACGCGTCTGAACCATGCTCGACCTAGTCTGAACCATACTCGACCTAGTCTGAATCATGCTCGCCCTAGTCTGAACCATACTCGACCAAGTCTTAACCAACCTAGACCTATTTTTTGTATCTACCTATATTGTATTTCATCAATTTAGGAACTGTTTTTAATAACAGCTATTTCCCCTGGCTAGAAATTTGAACAACAATTTGAAATTAAAAATGTATTCAATATAGCATTGAAACCAAAATTTCACAATAAACATAATATAACTTCAACACCATATTCATCAACACTTATATACATGTACATACATATATATCACCTTTAAAATAAAAATAAAACAAGCTGATCAAATAATCTCAAAACTGAATTGTGACTAATATTTTCAATGTTATTCAAAAATTTTTGAATGTTTCAGATATATTTTATGGTTACTGGACAATTTTCACCATTAACTTAAGCCAAGTATAGATTTATGGTGTCAGTTGAGTTTAGTTAATAATGCAGTGAACATTTTTCTTATTAGAATATATATAAAATAGCATATAAAGCAACATGATAAATTTAAAAAATGACACCTTTGTTTTGTTAAACCAAGAATTTAATATAATCATGATAATAGAACTTCCATAGTAATCCTGTGATAAATTTTTAAAAAAGTTTTCCAAAGTTACAGTAAAAATTTATTTCAATTAAATTTAAATAATTTTTGTCAAAATTAAAGACATGGCATACAAGAAGCACTTTAATAAGGTTTAATTACCTCAGTACATGTATGTTTTACAGGTAAAAAGGAAGCCCTATTTTTCTTAAACTCGTGTATTACTTATCTAGTGAATTCAAAAGGCCTTGTGATTTAAGTTTCACAGGATGTTGCAATTTTGAATGAATGTTATTTAGAATTTAATACTCTCTGACCAGGTGTGACCTTTTAAATGAGTTTGCCCCAAGCAGGAGGTAATACTTTATACTTCACCACTAATCAGAAGAACAATTTTATTAATTTCTTTAATTTTTATCCCTTTTTGATATATATTGTATTTAATATATCCCAAATTATAATAATAGATATATTTCTAAAATAAGGTAAAACAATTTCATTGATTTTGTTGGCTGTTGTTACCTCATTAAAAAGATAATTATATAACTATTGTACATTTTTTGTATTTAACCATGAAACCTATGTAGTTTTTAGGAAAATTAATTAAAAAAAAAACACATGCCAAACAAGAAGCACCTTAATAATGTATAATTACCCTCAGTATAGGTGTGGTTTTAAGGTAAAAGAAAATCTTTTTTTAACAAAACTCTAAAACTTTAAAATTAATATAATTAAATTATTACATAAGATAATTTGATTTAACTATCTCTATTTGATAAATCTGAGAATCATGTAAGAATGTAAAAATCTGTTTTTATAATATATCTTTATTTTATTGTGGCTGTTGTCAGGTCAGTTAAAAAGAAATTTATTTTAACAGTTAAAATTTAGAAAAAGTAGAGGTTATTTGGTCACGTATGGTTCAGACTGGTCGAGTATTGTTCAGACCTTTGGTCGAGTATGGTTTAGACTGAAAAAAATAGGTTGAGTACAGGTCGAGAATGGGTTAAGACTGTTTCAGACTATTTTCAATGGCAAAGATAAGGGTCAAGTACAAATTAGTACAGTCGAGTATGGTTAAGACTGGGGTCGAGTAATGTCGAGTAAAATTCAGACCAATTCAGACTGGTTGAGTAAAAATCAGTACAGTCGAGTACAGATATAGGCCATTTCAGACTTTTACTGGTTTGTAGTGATGGTTAAGAATGTTTGCTTCACTTTTTCGATTTTTTCCTACCATTTGGTCATTCCTCTTTCCTTTTTCTTAGATTCTGTCGTGCATTTGATAATAACATTAAGAAACAACCATATTTTCAAGACTTGGTTTTATATATTTCAAATATTTTTTTTCTTCATACAGTTAAACATAAGTTTTCTACTAATATATTTCATATTGTCGATCCCGAAAAATTATTTATTACCATTAATTAAACCATATTCATGTTTCTCAAATGTCCGATTATCTCGATTTATTAGTTTTGAAAGTCCACCTGCTTTGTTTTGCCTCTTTTTTCTCACAAACACATTAACGGTCCTATTTTTATTTAAGATCTCTTTTTTTAGATACATGATTTATGAAAACAATGGTATTTAAAAATACTTCGTTCGTATCATGTTCTATGCTCATTTAACCCAGAAGTCAACACTTTAAATTTTATAACGAACAACTCTCGTGTGTATTTTAATCTCAAGTGTCGTTCAAAAAGCAACTTACGTTTGCATAGCAAGTATTTAAACAGCATAGTATAACATTATTGAAATTAAAACATAGTTTTTTTTCATAAAGGGTGAAAGAAGAACGTCATATTAGAAACTGACCAAGCCAGTTAGCAGAATCCATGAATAACACGGATTACGGGCCAATTTTATGTTACCATAAATGTTATTTAGTATTCTATATATTTATTGTCTCGTTGCCGTATATACCACATCACCAATTCATATTTTCTGAAATTTTGAAAAGTACAAGGTCTATCCCATTTTTGTGTTTTGTTAAAAGTCTCCAAATCGTTGTCATTATTGCTTACAAAAATTGTAACCGAAGTTAAAAAAAAGCGTACTGTGGGTTCATTATTATTCGTGGAATACAAATATCCGACTGATGAACCCTGAATTCAAATGTTCAACAACGATATAACGCTTGGGTTTAATTTGAACCATGTCATTTTTTAAGCAAGGCAATAGTTTGCCGAGACTGATATAGCTACCATATAAAATTGATGTATTAAAGCAACATTGTGCATCTGTTATATGTATAACTAAAGATTCTACCACTGCATCGGGTTTAATTTAATATTTCTTGACGGAAGACATTCAAATCATCAAATATGAATCGCAAGGCTTGTCGAGCTCTTATAAATATATAAAATTTAACTGGCAAGAACAAAAAAATAGTATTCCACGAGATTCGATGGTGGAATCTGTTTAACAAACAATTTATTGGCGATGTATGAACAAACTTCATCAATGCTCTGCAAAATGACTTGTTCTTTATATTGAACAATATTGAACAACATTAGTCATGGTCGCCTTTTTTGTGACGTCACAATATAAAATTCAGAGAAAAGCAAGAAACTTTGACGTCATAATTGAATTTTGACCAATGGAAAACTGAGATCAAACGAACCAAACGTTGGTTATAAAAATAAATTATTCAACTGGTCGTGAGAAATAGAAATCGGGTAAAAATTAGAAAATCATAATTATGTGACCTATGTCGGTAGAATATTACCTATAACATAAAAATGTTATCAGCATAAACTATAATATTAAGGATGTATGTCGGTATAAAAACAAATAGCATAAGTTCATACTTCGCAAAATATAGTTTATTTATAGAGAAAGTAAGGTTTCACCTCCCTCAGGCAAAGGTGACCTTACATGGATTTGGCTACTATCCAGAAAACCTGCATATAGAGTACATATCTCCCAGTTGATACTGTATTCAAGAGTTTGCATTTCCTATCATGATTTCTTTGATAGAGGGTTGCTGCTAAAAATGAAGCTATTGAACCAAGACTTCCAAGTGGTGAAGTTGAAATCATACCTTCGAAAATTTTATGGACGCCATCACGAGTTGGTTGACCGTTATGAAATATCTGTTTCACAGAAGACGAAGGATATGTTCCAATTGTTGTAACCACATTCCCGTTCTCTTTTTCTCGAATTTTACCACCAAATAAGACTTATCACCGGTTTTTACTTACATGATCAACATGAAGAGTTCCAGATGTTGAGCAGGATCTGCTTACCCTTCCGGAACACCTGAGATCTACTTCAATTTTTGTGGGGATTCGTATTTTTTTTTTGTATTGTTTTTTGTTATTGTCATTATTCTCTTTCATTTGTATTTCAACATCTCATTATTCTCTGTTCTTTATTCATGTTATATTTCAGCACCCCATTATTCTGTATTCCTTTTTTTCCTATTTTTCTCTATTCTTTATAACTTTGGGTCATTACTCTTCACTGTGTTTTCATTATTCTCTATTCTGTTAACCCCATCCAAACCATCATATATGATTCCTTCGTCAAAATTGAACATGCGAAAATGTTAAGATTAAAAGTAGCCAAGTAGCTGTTATTCATTAATGATTGCACTTAGCTACAGTTGATTTTTTTAACACAAATAAGGCTACATAGGAAGGAATTTAATAAATCAATAAATTGATTGAGTACCCCAAAAAAGGCGATGAAGTCTATTTAATTAACATAAGCATTGGATGTTTAAACGTAATATTACCCTGGCATACTTCTAATTCCTCATCTGAATTGTCATAGCAATTTTTTCTACCATCACACACATGACTCATGCTCACGCATAACTTAAAATAACCGGTTCTAGAGTAACGATGTATTGTCCAGTCTTTGCATCGAAACTCATCCTCTTTACATTTAAAATTTGTTTCTGAAAAGAAATGCTCAAAGATTTATCAATATACCACATTTCAGAAGCTAAAAGATCAAGATGATGTGAATAAAAATGCACTTATTTTGCCCTCGATTTTTAAATGAGTATATTAATATAACACATTTGGATTACAATTTATAAACTGAAAGGGCAATTAAGTCATAAATATCATCATTGTTTTTAATTTTACCAGCATGAAGACATAAATCATGTACACGAAGAGGATTATATTGTCATGATACTTTTCATTTTTAATAAAGATAATAGTATCAAGAGACCTTTTTTGGTCAGAAATATAAATACAAATTAACCAATCTAATATTGGAAAAGAAGCATCATTTATAATAACACTTAGCAAATTACTGTCGAAAAAAGTTAAAACAAATTCCATATTTTTCCAGTTTTAATCAAATTAATAATGACTGGTACAGAATTTACTGCATCATATGCACATTTCGACATTTAATGTCTGTTCACTGATGCTTGGGGCAAAACTTGTGCAAACGTTGACGAGGTGATATAACCGTTTTTGACCAAACGCATATCCAAACTTGTGCAACGTCAAGCGTTGACGACGTGATATAACCGTTATTGACCAAACGTATATCTAAACTTGTGCAAACGTTGACGTGGTGATATAACCGTTATTGACCAAACGCATATCCAAACTTGTGCGAACGTTGACGAGGTGATATAACCGTTATTGACCAAACGCATATCCAAACTTGTGCAAATGCTGACGAGGTGATATAACCGTTATTGACCAAACGCATATCCAAACTTGTGCAAACGTGGACGAGGTGATATAGCCTTTATTGACCAAACGCATATCCAAACTTAGACAACAATCAGAGTAAGGCGGTACATTTCAAAATTTCAAATGATTCCATTTCAAGTTTTAATTTATAACAGCATTCTTCAATAACACGTACAATATACGTATTTTTATGCATGTACTGAATCACTGAGTTCCTTGGCTACTATATAATGCTTCTTCGAGAATCTCGAGGCCAACATATTGGAATATTAAAGACTTAGGAAAAGACTTTAAAAAAGCTGAATATATAACCGAATTGACAATAAAGGCATAGCAAAACACCTACAAGGAATAAGAGCTAATCATGAAGGAGATTACGTACATATTTACAATGATTTTCTGAGATTTACCTTCCATATTTACAAAGATTTTCTAAAATATAACGGTTCAGTCCAATAATCGAGTATTGGTATTTTCATGCCAGTACGTGGATACTGTAATAATGCTTTGGGCTAAAATATCTTAAAATCAAAACATCTTAAAAACATAAAAAAGTATAATATTACCGAACGTAAAAGAAAATCAATTTAAACCAATATATGATTATGCATGAGGAAAACACATTGCTGATTCTAAAATGATTTTCTTATTCATCTCAACAAAGTCCAATAAAAAATATCCGAATTTTTATTGAACCCTATTAATTATAACATTAATATTTAATTTCATGTTCTGATATTCGCATATACAAGAACATATAATTTGAATTAAGATTTTGTGATATGTATATCGAGATTAATACATATGAGCCATATTTTCGTTCAGCCCATATCTTGAAGATGATCATATTCCAAAGTAAACATATAAATTAGATCTTCCATCCGGGTCCTTGTGATGTTTTTCAAGATATCATATATAATTATTTCTGTCCGCATAATGTAATGTATGTTGTTTCTCCTGCTTGCTTCAATTAATGAAACTTCCTCTTCAACTCATGAAGCACATTATGCATTAAGAAATTGGTTATTTACATACCATCACATAACAACGCATTTTCATCTGTTCCGTCTAAACAGTCTTGTTTGCCATCACAGAATTCTATTGCATAAATACATCTTATTCGATCTGCACATTTACGCATTTCTTTTGGACAAGGTAGGGCTGAGGAGGTAAATATATCATGTTACAAAATCGAAAAAAGGTAATATATTTAGAAAATTGTCAGATTAATATTTCTGAAAAAATATTTGTTTTTAATGGATGCCAAAAGTTCAACTTGAGAAATGTGCAAACTAAATGATATATGAATTGAACTGTAATATTAATATTGTTGCTGACCAACATATCTTTGAGCCAGGATATATGATATCTTTTGATATCTATTTTAATTTATCGATTGTGTTCTAATTACCGTTTAAATCGGATAAGCTCATGAACATATGCTACAAACGAATGATGTTTTGGGTAATACAATTGTATCTTGTCATAGTCTAGTAGGATAGTTTTACGTTTGTTGATCATGTAATGAAAAGTTCAATGTGAAGTTGAATGGAGGCAATGATTTCGTAAATCAAGTGTCGTAAAGATAAAATTAGAAGATTAATATGTTCATAATGAAACGTAAAACTAAGTATTTTAAATAATGATAAACTCTTACCATAAGTAATAAAATATCACAATAAAATTTAAACCACCAAGTAAATGATATTTCATTATTTAATTTTTTTTCTATAAGAATATGAATCGAATTGGGTTTCTATAATAAATATACATACAAAACATATCATTTGTGGATTGTTAGTAATTATCATGCTTACCTCTACATCTTCCGGGATCCTCATCCGTGTGGAGTGTAAGTGCTTGTCATATTTACCTATACATCTTTCGGGATCCTCATCCGTGTGGGGTGTAAGTGATTGTCATGCTTACCTCTACATCTTAAGGCATCCTCATCTTACTTCTACATCATTCAGGATCCTCATCCGTGTGAACTGTAAGTGATTGTCATGCTTACCTCTACATCTTTCGGGATCCTCATCCGTGTGGAGTGTAAGTGATTGTCATGCTTACCTCTACATCTTTCGGGATCCTCATCCGAACCATCATTACAATGTTTATATCCATCACAAAAGTAACGTTTATTAATACATTCTAAATCATCCAGACATCGAAATTCTTCATTATAATTTATACAAGTACAGTATTCAGGCGAATAAGATCTATATCTACACTTGCCGCAATCTGAAAAAGATCAAACGGATGTAACAATTTGCTGTTTCAGAATCTAAGGGACAATGGGTAATGTATTTTTCGTACCCCAAAAATAATATTATATGTCTCGTCATTGGTTTAATTTTCATTGTTTAAGACGTTGTTAACCTATCACAACATTTGGTTACGCCTTTGAAAATATTACATAGAATGCATTAGATTATGAAACAGTGAATTAATTCATATTGTTTAGGTGTTTACCTCTGTTACAGGCTGTACGTTTGTCTATTGAGGAGAAGGAAAAGGACAACACAATTTGTAATACTTTCAGCAAATTGATCAACTTATAACACACCGTTTAAGTTAGGTCTCAAAGCTCTTGTCAAAAACCTCATCACAGGATCACAGTCGTATTTCAATGTTGTTGTTGTTTTTTTTTTTTTTTTTTTTTTTTTTTTTTAGATTTCGGTGTTAAAGGCAGTTCTTTGATACTTTATACTATTGATTAACAATCTTTATTTAAATCTGAGAAGGGTAAGAGTTTAAGATATTTGTACATAAGACTGTATTTTGTTAACCAAACGGCATTTTGACTTCTATACCACATGACTATTGTAATCCATGATGACCTTATTAAATACACCCATTATCTATCATATTTATTTCAAAGCAATACAAAACAAGAATGTGTCCATAGTACACGGATGCCCCACTCGCACTATCAATTTCTATGTTCAGTGGACCGTGAAATTAGGGTCAAAACTCTAATTTGGCATCAAAATTAGAAAGATCATATCATAGGGAACATGTGTTCTAAGTTTCCAGTTGCTTGAACTTCAACTCCATCAAAAGCTACCGTGACCAAAAACTTGAACCTGAAGCGGGACAGACGGACGAACGGACGCACAGACCGGAAAACATAATGCTCCTAAGTGGGGCATAAAAACATATCATTCTGATTGCAATACAGATAGTATTCTACACTTCGCTTTATACAAGGATCTGACAACATTCTACATTCTGTCTCAAAGACCTTTCGGGAACCTGGGATTTTGTTGTAAGGATACACGCTTTAAAAAAATTGAGGCAACAATTGATTGGTTGATTAAAAAGTACCGGAACAGAAATAACAACCATATGTTTTCAGGTCCTTGTGACCAAAGCGTGGACACAGAAGCTGTATTTAAATCATGTTGCAAAGGAGATGTGCTATGTTTACCTATGTAACAACTATCCACCACAGACAAAACGACGATAGTGTAATCAACAAAAGTTCTATGTGCAGCCCTTAAAAACGAACAACGCCGTATAAAAGGTCACAAAAGGGCCCGACACGAACAATTTTGATATAATTCAAACCTGAAAACCTAAGGTTAGTTTATAGTAAACGAAAAAAACATATATAACAGAGAACCACTGAATATAACTAGATACAAGCACATAACAAATCGGACGTAGAAAGTGGTATAACAGCACAACATAAATACTCATCATATCAGCACGAAACACAAACACAAATGTCAAAAAAACAAGATACAAGAACTGGTCTTAGATAGATATAAGAAGATGTGGTATGAGTGCTAATGAGACAACTCTCCATCCAAGTCACAACTTAAACAGTAAAAAGTAAACCATTATAGGTCAAAGTACGGCCTTCAACACGGAGCTTTGGCTCACACCGAACCTAAACTATAAAAGGCCCCAAAATGACTAGTGTAAAACCATTCAAACAGGACAACCAACGGTCTAATCAATATAAAAAACGAGAAACGAGAAACACTTATGAACCCTGTCAACAAACGACAACCACTGAACATCAGGTTCCTAAGAGTTCTCATAATTACTGAAAGATAGTTACTGAAAACTAAATCATGTTTTCCCAAGACTAAAATATTAATTTGTATACACCCAACTGGGTTTGTATGGAGACGTTATTAAGAGCTAGAGTATGACCTTGTCCAGAATCGACAAAATTTAGAACCCTGAGTATTTATACTTCTGTTGCAGTACTTGACTTAATATTTCACCAGTTTTACTTGTTAAACGTTTATTTGAATCTATTTGAATTTATTTGACGGCCATAGCAAAGAAATTGGATAGTATACAAACCAAACTATGGGGTCAAAGAATTCCGAATATCACCATCCGAAAGATAAAGATTAATCAAAGGGAACAAAAGAAACGTATCTTTCGTCGAAAATGGTTTAATAAATGTTTCAGTATGAAATAGTAAAACTAGAATCTAACAATGACAATATATTTTGTTTAACTTACTTAATTTAAGGGTAAATCTCAGCAATACATTAAAATATTATTGATTTATTTTATTGAAGGCATAACTAGCTATTGTTATCATTTTTGTCAAATAAATATAATTTAGACGTGTCTTTAGTGAGTTTAGGTATGAACTGTAATATCCATTAAAATGCCTGCAACCTGTGGATAAATGGTATATCCGAAACGCACAAAGATGTTTTTAAACCGAAAATGTATAGCTTTCATCAACACAACACATTTCTGGTAAGTATAAGAAGCATATATACCTTTCTCATTGCAAAAAGCTATATATGAGTTGTAGCAAATAAATTCGCAATCCAAAATTTTAAAAGACCATTTAATTAAACAAAATCACTTCTGTTTGATATGATTGGGTGGTGAACAGACTCAAACCGTCGTAACTGTCATCCAAATTGAGAGAACAAACAAAAGCATATAATATATCTTAAACATCCTAATAGCTTTTTTACACTCCTTATGTTTTCATATGTTTTATTGCAGACGTTAATGCTAAGTTCTTAAATTGTAATACATGAACTGATTTATGTGCCACTTGTCATAAGAATAGTTCTGTCTTTATTTCCGCGGTTATAAAATCGGATACGTTGTCATGAGTACAAGAGCAGAGGAAGCTGATTCCCCTTTCATTTGAAAGGAATAAGGTGGTTGAGTCCTTAGTGTGTTTCTGGTTTGGCATTTTGAGGACTTGTGTTTTTTTAACTTGATCATTGTACATGTGTTCAGTCCTTGTTCTATCTCTTTGGCCTCCTTGATTTCTCTTTTTGTTTAATTAAATGGTAAAATCGTAGCGGCAGGATCATTGGTAAACAGTCTAGGGGTCGATATGACTAAAGACTAATGCTATGGAACCAGAGAACTTAGCAAACACTGTAACACTTCACAAATCAGGAGCCATAATCCTACTTCGAATCAAAAGAAATCAAACAAAAACGAGTTTCATAAGTAATACAAGTTATATACATGTATTTAAAGTCCAATTATACGAATCCAGAGATTTTTCTGGTACCGCCAGAATCAGGCCTTCATATTGGCATATGTTCCGCTATGTATCGTATCACTATCTAAAGAAAGTTTTAAATTACTGAATTAGTCCTGAAAGGAACTTTTGTTAACAGCTTAATATTAAAAAAAAACAAAAAAAAAGCCTAGTAAACATCAGTTGTTATAATAACCTTAGCGGTACCAATGTTACTACACTTGATGTGCATATCGACATTAATTATCTCTTCAGTCATTCTCGATCCTCAAATATTTCAAAACCCCACACATAAATAATATCCATCAAATTTAAAGTTCAAGTAACGAGTTTTTGGGGTTTTTTTTATGCAGCTATTTAAACTCAAACCTTTCTCTGCAATGCTGATCCGAATTGCTTCCATCTGTTTTTATTTGATTAGAATAAAGATTGAAATTAGAACAATTATTTACCAAATTTAACTATTTTACAAACACATTGAGAGGATCTATAATTAACTAATTTACTTACAATATAAATGGATTAGATAGTTAGTAACTAAAACTCCAAAAAGGATAGCTGATGTAAAATCCATAGTACGTAATAACTGGTTACGCTGAAAAAGAACATAATATTTTGATATCAAATCCTATTATTGGGAGTGTCAAACATTCCATTCTCAATTTTATGTATAGATAATTGAAGTTTTATAAGCAGAACGGGAAAATAAAAGAAAAAGCCAAACACGTGCACGTTAGAGATGGAGAATTTGTTTGCAATAATTTACAGAAATTACTAAATCACAGGCGGATCCAGCCCCCCCCCCCCTTTCGTGGGAAAAATTTGGTTGATTATGTTGGGAATCACTGAAGCATGACTGGAGCGCCCCCCTCCTTAGGTCAGTCAGCGGGACCCCCTTATGAAAAGTTCTGGATCCGCCATTGTAAACTGTTTATTTTCACCAAATAGTTCGAGAATGTGATTTTTTTGGAACAATAGTGTACTTTGACCTATAATGGTTTACATTTACAAATTGTGACTTGGATGGGAGTTGTCTCATTGGCACTCATACCACATCTTCTTTTATCTATATAAAGGCTAATATTGAATTTGTCGCAATTCATTCGGTTCCTCATTTGATATTATGTCTATAGAATTATGTTTGAGTGTTTATATATAATACCTGACAGGAATTGCTAGATCGTATTCTGATGCAGTGCTATTTTGTTTTTATTTTAAACCAGTTGGTTCCGCTCTACAGCTAATTTCTCAGCTACGATGTACTGTAAACGGTGTACGGGTAAACATAAAAAGATGTAATGTGATAGGCATTTTGATCGCTATCATGTAAAGAGCAAAAGACAAGTATGTTTACAGCTGCAGGTCACCCATAGACTCGCCGCGATATTGACTTTTTTTGCTGATGCAACGTAAGGCGATCACCAATCAATCACCGTAAATACGAATCTAAAGAGTTAACCTTTTTGACCTGAACTTTACTTCATTTCTCATTTTTCAAAGGACAATAAAAAAAATGAAATGCTTTCAACACGTGTTGAAACGAAATTCCAAATGAGAACATATGATATATATAACTGCAAAACTGTAAAAAAAAAATATCTGGAAAACATATATCAAGCATAATAGTTTTGAATAAATGTAAAGGATTTTTATATATATATCTTATTTTAACATTTAATGTCTCTTACCAGAACTGTTCCGTGTCAAATTAGTGTCTAGATTTTTTCTGTGGATATCAATTGATGTTAAT